CTCTGTTGAAATTCATTTCATAAAATGGAAATTTTTGATCACAATAAGGACAAGTCCATCTTTATCGAAAGTCATGGTGATTACGAAGACAACATGTTTACTTTATTTCGTTCAACTTCGCACTTGACCGCGCGCGCAGCAAATTATGTTCTTACTTCTTAGTGTTTTGGTAGTCTAAAAATCCAATATACCGAAAAAAACTCATAGAACTAACATACGTGTTTTTTTGTATTTGATTTCGTTCCTGCATTTCCAGGAAAAATAAAACGTCACGATGAATTCTCCAAATCTAGCGACAAGTTGCACCGTTTTTGAGGAAAACAACACGGTTCGGTGTACTAACGAACACATAACCTCGCATGCCAGAGAGGAAAATACGTCGTGCGATAAACGCTGTTGTACCAAATTAAACATTTTGTTGTACCTACTACTAGTGGACCGGAGTGGTTATCACGAATATTCGTGAGAACGTTTTCGCAACGTCATCGACACACGACACACATTGTATAACACACAAACAAACAAACCTCATACTTTTTTTCGATTACGCTACGACTACATTCTTGCAACTCGCACACAAATGTTCGTGATAGACCCTCTGTAACCCACTAACGACGTAATAATGACATTCCTGTGTTATTTAAAAACAAAACACAAAAGCATGGAGTGTCTAATGATGTCTAGTTTTTTTATAACAAATGAAGCTAAGATAATTGTTGGGTAAGATTCCAAATAAAATGAACTTTGCTCTTTAAAATTTACCTGCTTCCTTAATTTTAATCAGAAATTGTAAAGGAAGTATGTAAAAGATTATAATAACATGATAATGTATGCTAGGTAATAATTTTATTTAACAGTTCTGTCTATACAATACACGCGATGTAGTCGAGTCCATGCTCCCTTAGATAACAGCATTGGGTATAGGTATGGCCACGTGCGGATAACGGCTACTCTTATCTGTCTGACGTATTTCATACCTATACGTACATAGATTTAATATTTATAATGTAATAACAGTATTTTAATATAAATATTTTAATTGAAAATATTTTTACTATACAGAACATTAAGCCTTTGGGCAAAAAATAGCAATTATTGAATCCGCATCATAGTTGAACTTCATTGTACATAGACAATTTTTATGTAGTGAATATTTTTATATATGAAATTTATGTTTTTTTACGTCAAGTGCGTTTCCATTATGGCCCGGCGCCTACCTCAAGCGCGACGTCACGACTACATATAGTGATGATATCATGTCGGATAACTCTTCTAGACCGCGTGTCCATTGTTACAACATAGATAATTTAGTGTTCAGATGTTCAATGAAACATGCTTAATTGAATAATTTCTTGCTATGCCCATAAAATATTTTTAATTTTTTAATGAAATTCGTATTGCAGTTCTATACAGTCACTTAGTGTGTGTTCTCGTGCTAAATGTTTCCCTTAGTGTACCACTTAAATGAGTACAAAGTTGGAGATTTATTACAATTTATGAGTTAAGCTGTCAATGCGTTTTAGATTATCGTTCATAAACAGTTCAATCCACATTAGAATTCAAAGAATGGAAGCCGCGTCCCGTACAGTATGTGCGGCCATCGCAGTACTCCAGTCACGTAGATATACCAATCATCGTACATTTTAATTGCTACGAAAAACTTATTAGATACCTATTTAAGTTCTATATCTATCTATTTGTATTGTAAATATTAAAATCATTTTTTAAAAATGACTCCCTTCTCTTTTAAACAAATGCTAGATACACTTTGAAGTGACGATTCCAGTTACTGTACACAGTAAATTATATTTCAGATTCCGGCGTAGCATTTCACCACTGTTGGCCCATTAATTAAAGATAACCATAAGGAATGCGTTAATAAATAAGGTTTAGTTAATTGCTAGGTAAGCACCGTGACCAATTAGTGTGTGCGGTGCGGGCGAGCGTCGGGTTGAGACGAATTTCATTTAAGCAATTGTGGTAATTGACCGGCCGGCTTCCGGCGCGCTTTGTCCCGCAATGAGCGTAGGAATATGATTGAGCCGGTAATTGTGGCCGGCAAAATCAATCCTTGTCCTGCAATGCACGTGGGAAGCATCAGGATGCACCGATGTTACCCTGGGTTTTCACTGAAGGATGCATTTAGTAAGCAGTCTAATTAGTTGAAGTAAATTAGCTAAATATTCGACCTTCACTGTCACGTATGGTAAGAATATTTTTCTCCTAATTGCTCAATGGAAACGCACCTTCCAATACAACTAAGATCGCAGCTTCATCGCGTTTCATATAAGGGCTCGTACATAGCATAATTAACTGCAATTAACGTGGTATGCCCCCTGGCTACAATTACACACTTATTATGGCCATAGAGATCTCCAACTGAGGAAAGGTACAAGTAAATCTTGTATAATTTATATTATACAAGATTTACAAGGATACAAGATTAATATTTCAAGTTATGACAGAATTGAAGAAATTTTTAATAGTTGACGCCATGTATGGGCATAGTGGAAGGAGCTTCGCCTACATACGACGTGCCGCGGCGACCTTGCCGCAAGGTCCAGCCGAGCCTCCCGCCCACCTCGCTACCAAAGTGCTGTCTGACACCATTTTATCTTAGCTTTGTATTATGTAATCAAAAAAGGAGGAAAATTTACATTTATTGTGAAATTAACGTCATATACTTTGCATCTCACAAGTCGTGCGCTTTTCATAGTATCGGAAACTCGCGTAAGTCGGTGACTGACGTTGACTGATAAGGCGGCGATCACAGCCTTGTTTCGGGCGTCGGTTTATCTAAGATAACCTGTGGTGTACGATGCGAAATGATGCGAAATATTTCCGGAGTTAGAGGAGCGTTCTATAAATATATGATTCGACGACGCTCGTGGGCGAACGTTTCGGGCGCGAGCGGCGAGAGGCGAGGCGCGGCAGTAGCGCGCGATCCGCCGCGGCCAGCCGCCGTACGCGCGCGCAACGAACGAACGAACCGCACTCCGCGAAACTATCGCGACGATCCCGACCCTACGCAACGCAACGCAAAACCCTAATCAATTCCCGAATATCGATATCAATTGCGATTAAAGTACTATCGAAACTCTAGCGCAGCGCCGGATCGATTCACACCGCGCATCGAAACTTTGCGAGGGCGGCTTATAACGAACAAATCGACTAACTAACTCGAACCGCACGAAGGTGTCGCGTCGCAAAAAGCGCAACACAATAGAGTAAGCGTCTAATTATAAACGTGTCCGTGCGAGCCGACTCCGGGATGCAGAACATCGACCCGCTGGAGTTCGCCAACATCCTGGCCACCGAGCTCTGGTGCCAGCAGGTACGACCCTCGCCCCGCAACACCACGTGCACCCCTGCACTGCGAGCACTCGCCAAAACTTAACACTTTCCCGGAAAATAATAAAAGTTACAAGCAAAACACGTAATTTGAGGCAAACTAAAATAGTGCATCAAAGATCGGGATTGTAATAAGGAAGACTAAATTACGTATACTTCAGACTGTAGTGTTTATTTGATGCTCATAACCCAATCCCCTCACAAGTGGTAACAATTGTGGAAATAGGCCAGTTTGCCACTTTAGTGAGGTGTTCACTTGCTCACCTGAATTGTAATTAACGTATGAGAATGCGTGAAATATTAAGCGTTGACAGAACAGAATATTTAGTTCAAAACAGATTTTTACCACACTTTAATATAGGCTAATCGCTGAAACTCGTTTTCTCAAGAGATGCACAGTATCCTCGTGTCTTAATTTATTTCAATTGGCATTAGAAAAGACTCAGTCATCAGGCGATTACTAGTTATTGCCAAGGTATACACTATTCCAATTCTACATTGAGATTCGAAATCTAGCACGAAAATTAGCGAAAAAGTATTAGTAACGTAATGTAATAAACGCAGGCCCATAACGCGCGTAAAGTACACAAACAAAGCTCACTTGATACGTATTGTCTAGCGATCACAAAAACAAAACACACTACAAACTGACCTAAAGGAACAAAATATCATCATGCGAACATTTTCTAATGATTGCTTCGTTTTTAAGTACGGGGAAGTATAACTTATCTTTACAAGTATAGTGGGTGTTAGTGGCTACTTGTTTGTTTTATCTATTTTAAATGAGACGAGTTGAAAGATTTATTTGAAAGCTTTTAACATTATTACGTCGCTGGCCCTCGACTGTCTTGTGTTGAGATAACCGTGCCCAGAACTGTGATGTATGGTAATATTTCCTTCCCTTCACTGTAAACATCGTTTGTTTTCAAGTCTTAAAATAATCAAAATTCTTTATTATTACTATTAATTTTACGAGACATTAACGTTCTTAATTTTCTTCCTGAAACTAAATATTTTCATTCTATAAGGTTTTTTTATGTGAATGGTATTTAAATTAGTGTATAAGCTTATCCTAAAAATATTCAGGAATTAACAAATAAAAAATCGTTTTAAAAACAAGTATTTATTACTACACTTAATAGGAAAAGCAACCAGTAGTTTGAAAGAATATTCAAAGCAGAAAAACATATCTTCTGCGATTCTGCTTATCTCGTATACAAACGTGAAGCTGCGAAATTTATTCATATAAAATTTGCATGTTGTTATTGTTGTTTGTATATAAATAATGCTCTGATAAAACGCGAATGGTATGTGGAAGCAAATTAAACAAGATAACAAATAAAAAATAAACAATGTTGCGCAATACGGTCACACAATATAACACGTTTCAAATAAAATGTTTGTCATTAAATTTTATTAATTTTTGAACCAAAGAAACATATTAAATTACCATTAGCTTTTCAAATGTCACAATAGGTTCGTATTAGATGTAGGTCAAAATAAGAGTTTAAAAGGTTTTCAATATTCAGTCATCAGTATTCTAAATATATTTTCATAATAATGTCCTTATCACTTATTTACATAAAATAGTTTTAATCGTAAATTATAGTAAATGTTTGATAGTTAATATTTGATATTGTTAATTTCAGTTGGCGAACCTCGAGGGCCTCCAGTCGGGGGTCCCGACCCGCACGACGGCGACCATCACGCCCACCCAGCTGCGGAACTTCGAGCAGACATACATCGAGCTGACCAACTTCCGCGGCGACCAGGCCAACCACGCAGGCTTCGTGCCACCATCCGTCACGCACGCCAACAACTACGGTCAGTACAACAACCCTCGGATACTAAATATCATTAAATTTGAAGTTTATTATTTTAACATAAACGCATGATTTATTGAATTTAATTCGGATTTTTTGTAACATAGACAAAAGCTAACCCTACCATAACAATAAAAAAATTATGTACATATAAAGTTTTTTTTTAACAAACGAATGTTATGCATTATAGGCATCCTGAATACGGCGGGGTACTGTGAGTCGGGCCCGACGACCGCGCTGCACGTGTCGCCGGGCCCGCTCTCCGCCAGCGACGGCAGCAGCAGCCCCGGCCTGCCCGCGCCCAAGCGCCGCAACATGGGCGGCCGCCGGCCCACCAAGACTCCTCAAGACCTCTCACCAGAGGAGGAGGAGCGCCGCAAGATCCGCCGCGAGCGCAACAAGATGGCCGCCGCGCGCTGCCGCAAGCGACGCCTCGACCACACCAACGAGCTGCAGGAGGAAACAGAAAAGCTCGAGGAAAAGAAGAGCATGTTGCAGGATGAGCTACGCAAGCTGAACGACGACCGCGAGCATCTACAGGCGCTGCTGCAGAACCACCTTCAGTCATGTAGACTTAACAAGCGCTCCACCAGCCCGCCCGACGTCAAGCCCTTCCAGGACCCCTACGTGTACCCCGAGGCCCCTGAAGACGGTGTGCGCGTCAAAGTGGAGGTTATGGACCCCACCGTGGATCCGGTCCTCGGACTGGATAACGACATTTTCACATCTCCGATGGCGGATAAAAAGTAAGTTAATTTTGTATTGCGATCTGACTAGCTTTCGCCGACGATACCGTCCGTGTTGTATAAAAATAACAAGTGAGTAGCCTATGTGTTCTTCCAGACTGTGTCCTACATCTATACCAAATTTCATCTAGATCTATTTAGCCGTTTAGCCTCCAAACTCTAACAAACATCCAATCATCTAAATTTTCGGTTTTGTTACATTTTGATGTCAATACAATACATGGGCCATATCTGGCCATATAAATGGGTTAAAATGAACTTTCCTCTCGAAGTAAAACAGCTATAACACCAATTGATGGATATGTGTTGACATTGTGGTTGTGTTTGTTGCAGGATAATGCTATCGGCGGCGAACCCCGCGGTGGTGACGAGCGGCAGCGGCGGCGCGCTGGACACGCCCCCCGCGCGCCCCTCCCGCCCCAACTTCCTGCACGTGCCAGTCACGCTCACGCCCGCACAGGTATACACTCATTTTTTATAACAGAAACACACTCTACCAGTCACCTTTCATATTTTGCTTACATTTATTAAAAACCAAAAATAACTGATATGAAGGCCACGAATTCGTTCCCTGAAATATGCCATTAAATTATTTTTTGCTAGCAGGTATATTCAATAACAATGAAAAAACAGTTTACAGCTGTTTAAACAAGAAGTAACTTTTCAATCTTTGCACAAGAATCGGATGATTTAGAGCTGTATACATGATAGAGATAAATATGACCTTATTATAATTCCCTTTCCCTTCCCATTTTTTTTTATATGGAAAGGATAATAGAGAACTCACTACTGTGATATGCTCTTACTAGAGAAAGTATCCTCTTGCTTTAAGCCCCCCTCCTCCGTCGATTGAAGGTAAATAACGCATTTGTTATTGCCGATATCTGGGCAGCGGTCACTTTGCTATTTCGGCAAATTCAGGTGACCGCTTTTAATAAAAAATGCGATTTTTTTATGTTATTGTTTGTCGTTCCAGATACACAACAGCAAAGTTGGCAACAAGATCCCCGGCATCGAGATCAGCACTCCCAGCAACGGGATCCCGTTTAACTTCGACAGCCTGATGGAGGGGGGCACCGGCCTCACCCCCGTGCACCCCCACCCGCACCCCTGCGCGCAGCAGCAGCGCGCCGCGCCCGACCTCGCCTCGCCCGACCACGGCAGCCTCGTCAGCCTGTAGCGCCCTGCAGCGGCTCACACCGACCACAATCCCCTCACATCGAACGGTACCAACCAATCTACTTCTAATTCACGGCTCTCGTAATTTGTTTTATCGGTATCTTGTAATTTATATAATTCAATTATTTTTGATTTTTTACCACATTAATAAATCTTATGAGAATGTCATTTTTCTATTGTATTATAGTTTTAATACGATTATTGGTCGGTAATGTGAAGTAGATGGTTTTTTATTCGGGATGTGGTTTATTGCTTAATTGTAACGAGCGTGCCTTAGTGTGCCCTACGTGTGACGTAACGGCCGGCGCACATCGAACTTAGTTCGCGTAATGAGTTCTTATGTCTGTTCTTATTTATTTAAAGTTTACACTAAATGCGCTGGCTACGAGGAATAGCCTCCGCTAGTATGTTTAATGTGAACACTACCTTATGGGCTTCGACTGCCGTGTGTATTGACAGTTGTCTCTGTTTTTCTCAAAGTCAATGAAAGAGATGAAAATATATGTCGATACTAGTCAGGGAAGTTGAAACCTATAGTAAGTATCTTTATGGCATACAAGGAGAAGCTGGCTCAAGCGATTGGGACTATGACGTCATCTAAAGTTGTTAATTTTAGCATTTTTAATTAAAAGTGTATTAATAAATTATTTTTATATTCGCATCTTATGTCCTCGCTTTCTTCGTGTATCCTTTACGCCTGTCTTTTACTTCTATATTCTTCAATATATATTATTACTGTTTCTATATTTAAAAATCTTAAAATTATTCGCGTCTCATTACGGAACTTCCGTAGTTAAGTATAACTTGCTCACTATGCTTTTGTTATATTTAATATATAAATTAGCCTTATTATGTAGTAACTGGAGTAGTGTTGCCAGTCCACAAAAGTCAATTGATGAGCTCTTTATATTTCTATACGAAATAAAAAGCAAATATTTTTTATACAATCGACTTTTATACCAGAAAGCAGAAATATTTGTGATTTAAAAATAAAACGGAGTTTTATTTTTGAAGCATTTCAGGGATTAATTTCGAGTTGTGCTTAATCTAGCGAGGCTAGACTAGGGATTATTTATAAGTTGTGTAAAATATCTCTTTTACCGAAAAAAATACATTTTTGTCTAACGGCACAAATTTAATGTACTCACACTATAAAATCTTGTCATAATAAACTTGGTGCCATTTACTCTCTGGAACACATATTAAAAAAAAAACAAAAAAATTTAAACTATATCGAAATTTAAAAAGCTATTCAGGGTTGTAGAGCGTTATCTCCGTCACACATTAACTGTATGACTCTGTGTGAAAGAGACAACATTCTATGATTTGGATTTTTGAATTTGGAATTAATATATGACCGTTAATGTTTCGACTAACAGCAATATTACTTAAAGAATTTGAATATATTGAATGTAAGTTAGCTCAATGTCGATGTAGTGTTACCGTTCCATTGGTTTAGGTTCTGGTAGTGTATCTGTTAATTGTAAGTAATATGTGATACGTCCAGTGATTCGCTCACCTATGTAGGAAAGGGACAGCGATATTGTGACTCATGCCCATTTGTACTTTTATATGAAAACTATCTATTTCTATTAAATGTCAATTTCATAATTTATTTTGTTTTTTAAATTTATTAAATTGTTACTGTTCTCTCTTTTCAATCATTAATCTGTGGTTTTTTATTTATTTGTACGGCATGAGTCTTAGTTCGTACCAATATATTCATGAATTATACAATACGTAGACTAAGGCAATAATTAGTTTTTAAGGCACTTAACATTTATAATAATACGCATAACTTAGACCAAATTATTACTCTATGTGCTTTATTGTAGTTTTAATTTAAAATCTAAGCCAAAAATTGATTTTATGTCGTTATATTAGTTAGGTTTAGCCGCCATTACGTTGAAGTATTATTGGGTGTTACGTCGAGAAAAGTATTTATTTAGTAAATAGTATATATCAGTTATCGACGGAGCCGCGGGACTTGCTAGTATGTAACGATCATCACAGCCTACATTCATGTATTACGCATAATATGAACATTGTAGATATTAAGAGAGGTAATTTTTCTAGAAAGTTTTTTCATAAAGCAATGTGATTAGACTACTTTTGTATTTTTTCATGAAGCAAAGCAATATATTTGATAGAATTATTCGATAATTACAAACTGATTGTAGTCAAATTATTATATGTAAATCAGAAAATATAAATTTGTTAATGTACACCGGAATTTTGTGTTTTCTTTTACTTCCCACCCCATAAGAAAAAAACTAGTTAAAAAAAGATTCAAGAACAAGAATATAAAATGATAGATTACGTAAATCTGTTATCAAAGAAATATTTACCGTATTGACAAAAAAATGAAAAAGTAGTCAAGGTTTTAAAAACATTTAATCGAGAATAGAATATTCTAGAAGTGCATAACATTGCAAATGCAAATGTGCAAAATAAACTACCAGTTCCGGTGCGGCTTCATCCGCATGACATTATGAGAATTTTATTGTATTGTTTACATTTGTCAAGTTATCAATAGCCAATGTCAAAATGACATGACATGACAAACCTTGCTTCCTTGATGTTGGCAGCAACTTATGGTCCCTTTCCCACATTAGGGTTTTTATCTAAGTTTAATGCGGTGAAAATATATAGCCTAAAGCGTGAAGTAAGTGTAAGTATGTAAGTAAGCTTTTCATTAAAAAAAGAATTATTGTGTGTGTTTAAGCTTTATTATAATAGAATAGAGTATAGATAATCAAGACACAAGGTGCAACTATTACTGTACAAAAAGCGTCTAATTGCTGTATCCGATCCTTCGGCGTCGTCTCGTCGTCCGTCGCTTCTGGATGTAGTTTTTTATGCCAATATAAATATAGAAACAAATCTCAAATAAACTGATGTGGCTGAATCCGAGACACAGACCGAACACACCGCCCAAGTTAGCTGAAACATTTATAACAAAGTAATTCAAATTCAAATGGAAAATAATCAATTTAAGATTATACCTATACATTCTTGTCTATAGGTACAAATCTATCTATATTTACTGGGGTATTGGTAATTAGACGTATTTCCGTTAGGAGCCAATAGAGGGGATAATTTATGCTAATTTTGTACCCTATATGCATTATACCAAAGTTAACCGTTATCGAGTAATCTTGATTTTTCGATTTTTTCAAAAGAAGTCGAAATTGCAAACTCAAAAAATTATTTAAAAAAAATGTCAATGATAACTTAATTTTTTTTCTTTGGATTTGTAAGAACTATTTAACACTAATTATTTTAAATATAAAAACATTATTTATCTGTCCAATTTAAAAAATGCGAACTAAAGAACCATTCTGCTTCAATGTTTTTCGAGATTCTCATCCACTCAAATGCCTTAAAAAACTAGAAAAATCGTTATGGAACTTGTTCTGTAGATTGTTTTAAAAACATGCCTGTTTTCTTAGCTCACCAAAAGTGCACAATAACTAGGAACATGCTCCAAGGGCACTGAAATAAACACATGATTTCAAAGGAATCGGGCGATATTCGTACTCGAACTTAAGTTATATGAAGTTATTACGGTTGGTTTTGAAAACTTCTATAAAAGATTCTGGATTTCATTCCAGTATGATAAAAGGAATCTAAAAAAATAATGCAGAGTAGAATGTACGGTGTAAGTGTCCTAAAACACATCGCTAGATGAATACTCGTATGTTTTAGACAATGCGGACCCAGGGGGGGGTTCATGACCCCCTCCCACCCCTGAGCTGGTTGGTCAGGGGAGGGAGGTCAGGTCAATATGTAAATATTGTCAAGCTCTTGACTTGACCCTATGTGGACTATGTGGACCCCCCCCCTCCTGGCGCCAAAGCTGCATCCGGTTATAGAATGATTTAGATTGAACTAGAACTACATTAATATTAGTGTACTTCTTCGTAATTGTAGTTAAAAACAGTACTTACAAAAGAAATTGATCAAAGAAATGACAGTCTCCTGTTTCTGTCTCACAAATGTGGTCTTTGGAAAGTAGAAGTGCATGACAGTCGTGCTCTCGTTGAAAACTATCCCAGTACTGTAAAGTTACAATCAATACTTAACTAATTTACAAAACCTAGAAACTCGGGAGATGGATACAAATTGATAGGAACTTCACTTTAAACGTAACTTAATTACTGGCTCCAAGGTTATTATAACTTAAGCAGTTCCTTAGATTAGTTAGATTTGTCTTATTTCTACACGAAAAACCTGTCTAAGTAAAATCAAAGGTAAGTGCGGTAGTCATGGTATAGGTATTTTCAAATATCTTGGCTACCAGCATCCCTACACTCCGTTACATTTAAATTTGTGTTCTGCGCAGAGACTCGCAAAATTAGGAGCCGCCAAGATATGTGACAACTAGTGTATTATGAAGATATACTCACTATCTATCATGAACAACATGCTGGACAGCTTGCAGATTGCCGGTAAAATGCTCGATAGAGTAGCGGCGCGACACGCAGTCCCTCATGCAGCCACACGACAAGATTGCAGGCACTTCAGTCATATGAACTGCAATAACCATAGTAATATCATAAATGCAAAAGTTTAAATGGATAGATGTTTGTTAGAGTTTGTAGCCTAAACGGCAGAACGGATTTCGAAAAAATTTGGTATAAATGTAGAGGATAGTCTGGAAGAACACATAGGGTACTCCCTTTTGCTTTTTTTTAATCCAAGCGGACGGAATCGCGGGCAAAAGTTAGTCGGAACATAAATATTTATATGATTTATTTCCTTCATCGCACACACAAGCACACATAAGCTTACACAAGAACACACACACACACGAGTGCATTGATGGCTTATATCTCAACTGGCACCTGTATCAAACTGAACCATGTACTAGTAGTTAAGGAGAAGCCTAAAAACCAGCGCGGCATTCAGTGACAAGCTAGAGACCGCATTAGCTGAGCCTTCTTTTGGCCAAGAATTGTTTTTTATTTACATTTCATTATCATGGTTTGTAAGTTTTTCTTATTTGCGATTTTTTGTTCAGTAAACAGTGTGTAATTTTATTTTACTATTATATTTTTATAAACGCGTCAAATCCACTGTAACATCACTATCTCAGACCTCGAAAAAAACATATTTCATTATTTGAAAACCTTGATACAAGTGTGATAGCAGTTCAAGCTTGAATATCGCAAGAACTCTTTGACAAACACAGATGGAAGTCAAGCCATTCAAGTAATGAAATATACTAGTTTTCGCCCGCGACTCCGTCCGCGTGGAAATATAAAAAAGAAAAGTGAGTACCCTCTTCCAGACTATCCTCTACGTCTATGCCGTTCAGACGTGTAGGCTACAAAACCACAACATTCATCCATCTATCTAAACTTTCGCATTTATATATCAGTAAAAAGTAAGATAACAAATAGATGAGTATCAGTATTAAAATAAAACAATCTAAAAACCTTACATTTAACATCCGCAATGCAAGGAATCTTAGAGAAGTTGCAGACTCGATGCGGGCTGACGTTGGGCACGTAGAAGAATAAGCATTGGCAATGAAATTCCACCTTGTCGATGAGACAATTCAGGTCGCAGTCAGTATTGTGATACTCGCCGAAATGAGGCAGGACCTTTTCGTCGCGGAATATGCAATTTCGACTGCAAAGTCGCATAAAATCCATTTTTAAATGATAAAAGATCAACAAAATAAAACTATAAAAGACAATAGTTTTTTTAACTGTAAATTAAAACTATGATTTTGAAATGAAGTTCGGTTTTTGCTTATAAAAATTAGTTAGTATTGTTTTGTTATTTGTGTGTCTGTAGTTTTTCTTTAGTTAATGGTTTCTGATTGCTAGTTATTTGAGAGATACCTTGCCAATGGCAGTTTTTCTACTTCAGTAGAGCAGTAAGTGTAAGTGGCAGAGATTATGTGGAACACTTCAACGCCAGGATGTGCTAGTGTCGACTCTACCTCCAAAGGGAACTCTGACCAATCCGTGAGTATAACCTGACGAAACCACATTACTATAGTTTAATAATCACTTCAATATTTATTGACTAGTTAATTAAAAAAAAACAAAAGCAAATAGCCTATGTGTTATTCCAGACTATCCTCTACATCTATGCTAAATTTCATCGAGATCCGTTCACCCGTTTAGACTACAAACTCTAACAAACACCCATCCATCTAAACTTTCGCATTTATAATATTAGAATTAGTGTGATTAATAAGACAGTAAGATTCAGAAAAGCAAGTTAGTATTTTAATATTATAATAATAAAGAAACGATTAGTATTGTAATATTCAAACGTTATGGCGGCTGGCAAGCTCATGTTTGTGCCGCCGAGTGCCAGATAGGTGATGTAAAGTGCGCTAAGAGATCCTTTCTTTACGATTTGCCTATCGATATCTTGAGCTAGTCGTCATAAAGTTTACGCGGCAGTGTACCCGAGTCGCACCAGCGTGCTGTATAGTGCCGTCCACAGCGTTATTCGGATCGTAATCTGCGATAACCGTAAGTCCATGCGAATAGCCATGCTTTTTCACCTTATGTTCTACAAAATTTGGTTTCTTTTCATTTCTGAAAAAAAAAATCCTTTTTTATTAACCGACAAAATAGAAAGCATTAAAAGTATTTATTGGGACTTGCGATTTGCTATGAGCACGCGTCTGTACAAGTAACAGGCCCTTGCGTGTGGAGAGAAAGCATGTAGTATGGTCCGACCAACTCTTTTACATCACACCAATACTTAAAAATGTGTTTTTTAAAATATAATTATGTAAAATAGCAAGCAGCCACAAAGTCTTTTTCGAAATATACCTCTTGTCATTAGTAAACTTATATATGCTGTTGAAAGAGCAGCAAACCCCCAGTTTGGTGAGCACCGGTTCAAAGAGTTCCTCACAAGGGTACTGCTTGTTTCGGAAGAAGCATCGCTTGAGGAAAGTACTGCAGTTTTGCGACAACAAACTAATCACGTTTACCACCTATAACAAACATGTTTCAGAATTTATTATTAAGTGTGTTAAATATGCTTGCAGGATTCTCCTACTGATACGTAGTCGTTTATTTAAGTATGAAATGATTTATTCACACACGTTCGTTGCCAGCCAATAATATAGGCAATTCTAGAGGATGGGAGGCAACCACACCACATTAATATGTTCTTATTCAAAGTAGTTTATTTTTACATCTTTCAGTACTCTAGTAGAGAGTCCAATGACTTTGTTTTCAATTAAACATTGAGATTTAAGGTAGGTGGTACTCACGGAGTAACGGTTGCTTGTAATAATGTCTTGAAATTGTTGTAAATTTTTAAAATTGATCTTTTGTAGCAATTCATTGAAACCTAATGCTTGTGCCGCAAGTTCATCGAAGTTTGAAGTTAAATTTCCATTACTGAAATAATTAAATAATTAGTTCAAAATCGAATGCTTAATTGATGGATTTTTACATGCGGAAAAGTCGCAGGAAATAAGAAAAATAAAATACACTATCGTGTGTTTAAATTGTTCTACGGCGCTGAAAGTTATCTGATTGGGCGAGCAGAGCGTGATGGCGGGGTACGGCAGATTGTAAACCGGCTCGTACTGGTTCTCGATGGTAATGTGTGTGGGCATATCCATGAAGCGCTGGTACAGGAGGTATGTCAGTAGGCAAGCTCCTAGAGTACTCAGGAACAAAGTTATCCCCCAGAAACATCTGTAAAATATATAGAATGATTGAGGTTTGGTCATCATCATCATCACCAACTCACTATACTGCACGTATATTGAGGGGCTCGTGGCCTACCCTAAGTAAGGGGTGACTAGGCCGTAATCAAACACGCTGATCCACTTCGGGTTGATTGACTTCACACATACATATCTATAAATTTCTTCGCTAGTATGTGAAAATTGCATCACGAAGTTTTCCTTCACCGTAAGGACGTCAAACATCAGATAAATCACGTACATATATACATATGAAATTCAAAAATCACATAGATACATGGGGGAATTCGAAACCAAGACTTGTAGATTACAAATCAAGTACTTGAACCCCTGAGCCACTGACACTCAGAGTTTTAAACACTTGATTTGTTGATTTTCTTAAATGAGGCTTTGTGTAGGTTCATTAATAGTTAGGTAGTTTTTATATCTATATCTATACATTTTTCGATTCCCTAGGGAATAGAGGAGCCCAGCTCTTCCCCCTGCCCAATCTAGCAACGCCCGTAGACATGTTATAAGAAAATAAACTCACCTTGACACTGGGTCTGGATACAAATAGAAATATTTTAGACCTAAAACACTACCCTCCAAACAAAATCTCCGCAGCAATGTTTTGAAGTTACCCTTCATTGTCTATGATCTAAAGAGATGAAGCGGAGATTATATCAAGCCCAGAAGGAAGTAGCAATAGAACCTTCAGTAGATCTAAAGTGACTAATTCAAATATTCTAGCGTTTGTATGTATTTTAATAATTACTTTGTAATTTAATGTGTTCAAAGAATATATTTTAAATGTATAATTATTTAGCGTGACACAGAAAACTGTATTTAAAACTAATTATGGTACGATAGGTTAATTATAGTAGAATGTAGTATCATTGTTATAGTTTTATCAGTAATTTTTTGGTTTGGATTTTTATTAATAAATATAATTGTGGTGCAAACAGAAATGTTCATTAGAAACGATTTTTTTTATCTTAAGCGTCTCTGTAAAAATACATCTTTAAAAAAACGTTCACATTTATAACTATAGAATAATAAATTTATAACCATTATAAAGTATTATAAGTGCGAAAGTTTGGAACTTATAATAAATTTTGAAAGTTTGGATGGATGTATGGATGTTTATTGCAAACTATATCAAAAACGGCTTAACGGATCTTGATGAAATTTGGCACAGCTGTAGAGCATAGTCTGGAAGAAAATAGAGACTAATTAATATATTTAATACTAGCTGTTGACTGCGACTTCGTCCACGCAATAATAAGATAAAAACATGATCGTCTATGTCAGCTACCCTTCAGTGAAAGTCCGGTCGAAATCGGTCCAGCCGTTCCGGAGGTGACCCGGAACAAACGCGGCTTGTGGACAGACAGACAGACAAAAAAATTATCAGCAACACATATACATGATCATCTCGAAATCTGAAATTTTTCTTTTGATATTACAAACAGACACTCCAATTTTATTCTATGCAATGTTTAGTATGTTTAGTAAGTCAGACTGAGGAAAACCACCAATAAATTGTGTAACAAATGACATATGATCGTCTCTTTTTTCTCCATAAATGAAATAAGGACAATATTAATGACCGTATTTTCCACTTATACTAAATATATTAAATCAGTTATTTGGGAAGATTGACGTCTAACGTTATGTCGATCCGATGGAATAGATGTATTATATAAATTTCAACACAATTATTTAACAATTACGCGAGAGCAGTTACCGGGAGGTTGACATGGCGGCATACAAAATGTTTCGTGTCGTTGTTTTAATGTCGTGCTTGAGTCGTACTGCTGAGGTGGAAAAAGGTAGTTAAGTGCTTTTTTTTAATAAAAAAATCATTTCTGATGTGTTAAAAAATTCAATGTTTAAAATATCCGCCAGTTTGTATTTCCAAAAGTTATACATACTAGAGAATGGAATATTAGGCGGGCGGATACGAATAAAAAAATTAACATTAAAAAATAAACATTAATTTTATACTGAGACGAATAAAACGAAATAGCACTAATACATGGTCGCCTGTTGGTCCATTCGTATTAATGATTTTTTTGTTATTCATAATTTAAAATTCTTTTATGCACTTCTTAATTTCAGTTTTACTGAGTCTTTTACTTAAATGAGGGTACAAAGGATTCGCTTCACGTATTGGTACATACGTATTGCGTCGGTGGCTCAGGGGTTTAGGCACTTGACTTGTAATCTACAGGTCTTGGGTTCGAATCCCGCCATGTTCCAATGGATTTTTGATTTTTCTAAATTCATATGTATGTAATTTGCCCGACGTTCTTACGATGAAGGAAAACACCGTGATGCTACCTGCACATATCGGCGAAGAAAATCAAAAACAAGTGTGAAGTCAACCAACCCGCACTTTGCCAGCGTGGTTGACTATGGCCTAGTCGCCCTTAACTTAAGATAGGCTCTAAGCCCCCTATGTGGGGACGTATAGTGAGCTGGTAATGATGATTTTTACCTAGGTTATTTTGTAACAGGTTTATGTGACCAATGTACCTTTGTACTTAGCTGCCCACAAGCTGTAAGACTCCAGCGGGAGCGGGGTAAGGAGCCGGTGGTGCAGTGGTTGTTCCAAGATGTATTATCTTGTAAACGAAGTCATGCTCGAAGAATATCTAAAACGAAGGTAACAACAAAATTTAATTAATCTGTTAAGTTTAATATATGATAATAATTTATGTAATGAAATTTTACAAAGTTCCAATTCATTGTATCGCTTCCAAATCTTTGACAAACAAAGATGTTTAATTGTTAGGTTACATATGTACATATCTCTTTTTTATGCGGCTTTTGTCGCTCTCGTCGCTCCCCTGACATATATTCCTCAGGGACCTAAACATATCTTGTGGCTTGATGGCAACACCTATTAATCTAACTAGTTAATATTACAAATGCGAAAGTTTAATGGATGAATTAATGGATGTTTATTAGAATTTGTAGCCGAAACTGCTGAACGGATCACGATGAAAGTTGGAATAGATTCGGACGATGTTCTAGAAGAATACATAGGTTTCTTACTTTTTTAAATTCCACTCGGACGGAGTCCCGGGCGCAAGCTAGTAACTATACAAAAGTGTCGTATCATGTTTAACTTTTCATTTTTTATAATTTTTTTTTCTCTACCACCACAGATATGCTGCTCAAAAATAAAGAAATATAATCTTATCGACTTGGAGAATCATCCAAACGCAAAGCTATTGCCTGAAAATTGCGGCTTAGCGTATAGTTACCGAATTTACGGAGGAACTTTTGCGGATCTGGAAGAGTTCCCATGGATGGTTGTAATCGCTTACAAAGGTATGTAATATTGGCAAATACGATTTTAATCGGCTAACGGGTTCTTTAACTTTTTAATGCAAAGTGGTAAAGAAAGCGGACCGTACGAGTATGTTGTAAAGCGACCGCCGTTGTAAGCAGTTGCCACAAGCTTATAACTTGGAGATGTAAGGAGGATGAAGTTTTCATGTGAATTGTAATTAAACTAGTCTTCGCCCGCGACTCTGTCCTCGCGTAATTAAAAAAAAACAAATGCAAGTAGCATATGTGTTTATTCTCAAATCTCAAAAAAATTCAGCGAAATCCTTTTAGCCGTTTTGGCTGTATACTTTTACAAACATTTCGATACTTTCGCATTTGTAATGTCTCACGAAATTTTTATTAACTTAATGAACTATTCGTCTATTAAGTTAAAACTGTTAGAACTGAGGTTATGTAGCGGACCTTATAGTTAGTAGTAATTCTATTGCGTTCAACAGTAAAAAGGTCAATAAAGTTTAAATGCGGAGGTTCATTGATAACTGCGAGGTATGTGCTGACAGCGTCACACTGCGTCCGCGGACGGAAAATAGCGTACGTCAGAGTCGGAGATTACGACCTTAACAACAGCACTGATTGTCAGGAAAAAGGATATTGTGTATCCAATACTCAGGTAATAAACACGTTTATAATTCATTAGCGGTTGCCGGGGACTTTAAAACACATGTAAACCGTGAAAAAAACGAAAAGCTACGTATCTCACAAGAACCTGGCGTTTTTTCGAAAATACACCGTATTCCATTTGTTACTCAAGACTTACCTTTATATCAAGTTTCAATAAGATGTGTTAAACTGTTGCAGAATTATCGAGTAGACATGAAAAAAAATCTTTTTTTTAATAAAAAAAAACAAAACCGACTTCCAAACAAAATACACTAAAAACAAAATATTCTCACTAAAAAGTAACGAAATAATTCCTTGAAAATAGTAAACCTACCTTATTGTAGCCGTTATGTTTATATTGTACAATTATTATTACTTTCGGATAAAAAAAGAATTATCGAAATCGGTCCACTAGCGGCGGAGTTATGCCGTAACATACATAAAAAAAACATAGAGACGAATTGAGTACCTCCTTCTTTTGGGAAGTCGGTCAAAAATGTATCCCACGGGAACTGTAACTATTTCCGGGATCAAAAATAACCTATGTGTTCTTCTAGACTATCCATCATATACATAGACATCTTTGACAAATTTTATCGAAATCCGTTAATCAGTTTGAGCTACAAACTCTAACAAACATCAATTCATTTAAACTTATGCATTTATAATATTAGTGAAATCAAAAATAATCGTTATTAATAATAGTGAAATTTCAGTATTGTTTTGCAAGCGGTTACGCGGGCATATCCGTACACAACACAAAATTCTATGCGTTGTCACACATAAATAAATCTAAAAGATATAGAAAATAACTGAAGTACTAACATGTTTATTTATATTGTTCACAGAATATACTAATTGAGCAGATGATCTTGTATCCTAAGTACAACAAACACTATGGCTCCGACGTCCCGCAAGACATAGCTCTGCTGCGTCTCAATAGAACAGTCAACTTTGCTTCCAGTTAATATTTAAATAAATCAAGCGTTATTAATATAAATGTTGATTATTTATCAAGCGATTTGTAACTGTTACAGACGTTGGAACAGTATGTCTCCCTATAACAAGGGAACTACAAAAGATGGAGCTGCGGGGTACGGAGGCCACAGTTACGGGTTGGGGTGACTCGGGTACTGGACGAAAGTCTGATGTCCTACTCAAGGCTGAAGTACCAGTGTACAGTCGAATAACGTGTCGCCAATACTACAAGTATACATATTTTTATTAAACAATAGAATAATTAACAATTTTCAGCGTGCGCACACTTGAAAGTAAACTATCGCACGACATTTTAGTCTCACTATGATTTCTATGAGCTATATAAGCGCACATTACTACATTTTTAATTTTGCAACTAAACAGATGTTATTGGCTGTGAAATAATTGACAATCGCACAACAATCGAGCAATAGTTGAGTCACAGTTGCCCTTTTAATTCATCATACATCGCCAAGATGTTCGGTTCTGTTTCATCCTCATCCAGGATACACCAGCAATTTTATTATAAAACATCAATTACTTAAGTAACTAGTTTAAACATCACTAGCACTGGTTACTATCGCATAGTGCCCAAACATTTTCCTCATGGATACTTTACCGGTTTCGATAGTCCACCGGAGAGTATCCAATGTTTTAAATCTAAACCAAAAAAAATTCGTGGTACCCATTACAACTCGTGTTCCCCCGCTGGGTTCTTCGGACCTCAGGGCATGCCTGGACCACTTTGGAAATCCCTGGTATCAAGGTACCTGCAATTTAATGGGCATTGTCACTTCTTTATTGTAGATTTATTTTGAGATTTATACACACACACGCAAAGTTCGCTTCCGCCATCCACTCGACATCTGCAACAAGGGAGTTCCTGAAGCGAAAGTATATTTGTGAACTGCTTTGGTTGTTATAACATGTGTAAATTGTTTTAATTTCCTCGACTCAATTACATTTTTCTTTTAAAGGATTTTTAAAATAGAGACATCTTCGTATTCGGTAATATGCGCAGGACAAGAGGGCGTTGACACTTGTCAAGGCGACTCCGGTGGGCCGCTTACGGTTCCGTTCTTCTACAAAAATGACTATAGACATATCCAATTTGGCATTACATCTTTTGGACATTGGGTATGCGGTACTAAAAAGCCTGCTGTATACACGGATGTTCGTTTCTATATGAATTGGATTTTAGACAGAATTAAACCTTAAAATTGACTAAACAGTTAATAAAGTGTCTAGATTTTAATTGTAACCTGTTAGCGTACAATCACATAATCAAAATTTATTAAATGTAACTGTAGATAAATGTTTGCTTGTTATATTAATATAGTTTGTGTAATTAATTATAAAAAATAAATACGATATTTAGGAAAATGTATAAAGTGTTTTATTTGAAAAAATTTAAAGTTAACAAGAAAGATTAAATATAGCGTAATATACTCTTTAATGGCTAAGCCCCATGCGGAATCAAAAAATTCAAATTATTAATATAATTCAACTAATGTAGTTAATACTTCACTGGTCGTTGAAAAAAATTCTACAACAATGGGCATTACTATAGCGATAGTGCGACAAATTTTCTGGCCCAGTTGTCGTAAATGATACTGAAGTACAATAGTTTGTAGGTATTTAAGAACGAGCGCACCTTTTTGATTAAAACATCGCACAACTGAGAGATTGTCGATTGTTTCGCTGTCAATTTAACTGTTTCAACACAACTAAAAATCGAGTAGCGCGCGCACCTTCCTATCATACTATCATAATAAAGCGTAAACACACACTTCTTTGTTGCCTAAGATGTCAGCAATCACAGCATATTTTTGAATAGTTCTTTTTTTAATAAAAAGCCCTACACTTACGTCACGCTTTAGGCTACATATTTTCACACCATTGAACATAGGGGGTAAATATTTTGGATAAAAATCTTAATGTGGGAAAGAGACCATAAGTTGCTGCCAACATCAAGGAAGCAATTGTCATTTGTGCATTTAAATTTTGACATTTCATGCGGATGAAGCCGCACTGGAACAGTTAGTAAGCCTATAAGAATCAAAACGAGACTACACAGTTGTGCGATGATTTAGTCAAAGTTATGCGTAAAGTTTTAATATCTATGTTCAAACCTTGTCTTATTTTTCTCAATAACAAATTACATATTTCCACATATTCTATACTAAGAAGTGATAACAGCGATAACATCGCTGGGCCAGTTTCCCGCTATTCTTGTCATCTAAGCAATTAATAAGTTATTATATAGTTTTGAATTAATTTTCCTCATACAATACGCTGTTCCAATTTATTAAGTAGTTAAAATTTTTTCCTCACTATAATGTTAGCAATTAATACATTTATCATATTTCAACTTAAACACAGAATAAATCAAATAAATTAATAACACCAATAATGGCTACATCATTTATAACTGAACAATTTTACTGAATAGTCGGACAATATTTGAACAATTAAACTGTACAGTTTTGCGTAGACATAACATTTAATTGTCCTGTACTGTACTCTACACTCTTACTAAGATACTATGCAAATTGTTATTCATGGTAAGTTTTTTTATTTAGATATAAAGGAAAATTTTCTTCATAATTTCTTAATACTTTTGCAGAATATTTGTACGTTTTAAGCTTATAAGGGGAATTTAATACTTAATATGAAATAATGATTTATCATACAAACGACTAATGTTAATTATCTCAAAGACAAACTAAATAAATATGATTAACCTGAATCCAAAGTAAAATATTATACTCAATTCTAAACACGAATACATCTTTAGCAACTCTTTTAAGAAACACAATAAATAGATATTTGGTTGCTACATAATTTGTTTTTAGACATCTCTTGTATTAGATAGAAATAGAAAGAAATAGAAATAATTTTATTGAAAAATAAGAGATTTACAATTACAATTACAGTTATACCAATTTAAAAAAAATACAAATTGTGGTTAATATATGATTAAATTGGTGATGCCCACACTAGGCAATGCCTGTATCGTGGGCATCGAAAACAGCAGGAAAAATCTTTTCATACATTAATTACCAAAAACCTACGCTTACGGCGTTTCGGTATAATTTATGAATGAAAAATAAATATGCAAGATGATATAAAATAAGATATAAATATACTTTTGCTACAAATATCAGTGTAGAGGTTACCACTGGGAAAAATTTACAAAGGACATGTTCTTTTCTAGATTTCATACTTTTTATCTTAAAAATCTCTCGATTACAGTAAAATAATTCATTTGCGTGAAAATTCATAATATAACACACAAATATAACATTTTAGTTATTTCCTTTTATAAAAAGTTTTCATTTTACTACAAGCACCAAAGTACATGGGAATAGATACTAAATTTTTAGTCCTGTTTCACAAATTGTGTTGGTAATCTTTATTATTACAATTGGCATAAAATGACTATCTACAAATACCTATGTTTGTGTAAATGTCATTAGGTATTACATGTTATATTATATTTAATAATTGTTTGAACTATATAGCAAGTGTAAATAAATTCTTAATTATATTTCTAATTCTGTAAATAAAATTTCTATTATATTATTTATTTATAACACGGCTAAAACTCACGTGGGAACTTTCGGTGTAGGCACCGACCAGTTTCGAACCCGTAGGGGGTCCTTCTTCAGGGTGAGTGGATGCCGGGTTTATTCGCTATCGCGTCGCGACGGTCACTGAAACTGGTCGGAAACTGGTCGGTGCCTACACCGAAAGTTCCCACGTGAGTTTTAGCCGTGTTATAAATAAATAATATAGTATAATGTCTCACGAAAGTTTTAATAAGTTAAAATTTCTATTGTAAAATAATTGATAATTTAGTACAGTAGCATAATTTAAAACATTAAAGTAAAAAAAAATAACTAGTTTATTTCAACAGCAGAAAAATATTTTGTGGCTACTTTTATTGCTCCATTTATACAAATTTATTTCATCCATTCATTCTTGGTTAGATATCAAAATTTCCTATCTATTACTTCGGTGAATATTTAGAAGTTTTTTTTACAATATAAAATATTAATTCAATTTAAAAATTGAAATAAACTCTTGTGGTTTTTAATGGATTATAGTTGTGACAATAAAGATTATTTTCAAGAAGTGTTTAGAATAATAGAGGTTTCTAAGCTTTGTGCGAAGTTAAATACGCTATTATTACATAAAATGTATGAAAAGATACGGTAAAAGGCATTATTCATCCAGCGATAGTAAAAATATTCTTCTTCTTATAATTTTGGAATACAATACTTTGTATACAATATTTTATTTTCAATAAATACATTTCTAGTAAATCCTATCTCACATGTATTGTGCGTAAGTCTTCATCATTTTAAAAATGCTACAAAATCTTATAATTAATATTTTTCATAATAATAAAAGACGTACATATGTCGCGTCGAAAGAAATTGAATTGGCAATATAACTTTTCACTTCTCATATAGATTTAAATTAACATTAAAAATGTGTACATACATATATATTTTATTATTTCAACGTACGCCACTTTCGATCAGTCAAAAGCGTGCTTACCCAAAGGGATAATTGATATTAACAAACGACATTAACACACAAAGATTGAGAGAATCAATATTCATAAAATACCACATTCGTTTGTGCTGAAACGATCAAAGCAACACGTTTGTGTAACGTTTAATAACTAGAATCGACAAAAGACCTGGGTCTTAAAGAAAGCGACAATAATATCGAGTTGAATCGAATGACGCTCCGAAGTCCTCTGGGGGTGGGAGTGGCGGCGAGCGAGGGGGTCGCAACGCAAAAGCACCGGGTGTCGGTGCGGCCACATTCATGCTATCTCTGAGTCCAATGCCAGGCGCGCTGCGGAGGCACGCTACGTCGGACCCCGTCAGGAGTCCAGCAACACGTGCCACCGTTGTACCTTAAACAAATGTACACTAATTTAATTATAATAAACAACCAAGTACAAAAGAAAAGTATTACAATCTGACCTTGAAAATGATAGCCTGATCGCTACGTATTTTGCTTAGTAGTACTACGTGCTACGTGCGTAGCACAAGTTCTCGTAGTTCTATCTACGACGTAGATATTTAAATGAAACAAAATCCTTTCATGGTTGATATTTATATCTTCAATTCAAATATTTAAATAGATTTATAATAGTACAAATATGTTATATTGCTGCTAAGGAAGTCCATTTTAAGAGACTGCTCTCTAAGCTAGTATCCAATTGCTATTTCTACGAGTTTGCTACGAGTAATTACGTCCTATTTCTACTGTACTCTATGTTCAAAATGTGGTTTAAATTCGTTATAGGGTATTGAAGTGTGCGGCGTTACCTGCTCGCCCTGGCGCTGGCAGAGGTCCTCCCAGTGGCGCTGCTCGTCGCGGCCGGAGGAGCTGTGCCCCAGCGAGAACCAGCCCACCATCTCATTCCGCTTCACGCTGCGCCGCCACCATACCGACACCATCAGCGTCACTTCCGTCAGTTGGAACAGCGCCACCTGAATTTTGTTAAATCCCCGACACTCTATTTAGTCTACTGTATATACTGCGTTAGTTTTATTAATTTACTATTTAGAAAATCATTATTTCATTATTATATTACAATAATTAAATCTAAAGATTTTAGCCTTTAGGGCTAAATAAACAATAATAACTATAACTTTAATTACTTGTTATTATAACCAGTTTTTTAATGTTTTCCGAACAATTAATAAAATGTTTTTATGCTTTTCATTATACTTTGTAATATATGGCACCTGAAATATAAATAGTTCCTTGTAGAGTGGGTTGGACTGGGCGCGGCGCGTGGTGGACTTGCAGCGGCCCATCTCCATGCCCAGCGAGCTGATGAGGCACAGCTTGACGTACGTGTCCGGTGCCTTGTGCGGAGACAGCTTGCGGAAGTGTGTGCCCTTTATTATCTGACATACATAAATACAGAATTATTGATATTAATTGCAAATCTAAATAATACATAAAAAGCTATTCAAGTATAGTTACTTTAATTTAGTTACTTTAATTTGTGCTTCCTCACATTCTCATTGGATGTAAGTACATGTGCGTGTTACTAGGAGTGATCGTTATATTAATTTCTTACCCTTGGCCAAGTCGAGCTAATATATTGGATTTGGAATGAAGTACGTTTGAGTTGCAGGGTTACGTTTATTTCTATTTAATGTAAATGCAGCCCCGCCACGCTCTCTGTTACGTGGTACTTCTTCAGTGATCAACTAACACATATGATAAATGTCTAAATAGACGCAGACCTCAACAGACAAGTGTCCCGTGGTGGAGCTGTACTGCAGGCCGAGGAGCAGCTCGGGGGCGGAGCGCGCGCTGCAGCACGACGAGGCGGAGTCGGAGCGCGCCAGGCTGCACGCCTCGCCGCCGCAGCCCGCCACCGCGCCGGACAGGAACCCGTTACCGACAGACACGCCCGCGCTCATCGACGATGGGCTCGCCAACACGCCCGTCACTGATCCATCCAACTCTAATTTCGGTACCTGTGCACAAGCACATTATAATTTCACAATTATAATCAGCCTGTGTTTGGTCACCTAGATATAATAACTAGGCCATAATATGTCTTAAAATAAAAGGTCCTCCGCTTGCTTGATTCCAGAATTAAATGCCGTCTGACGTAATCTCTTATTAGTTTAACGTGTCTACCTAACGAATTTAATGTTACATCTTCGACCACAAAAATTGCTATTGTGTATGGAAAAGTTTTATCATAAGTTTCTAACAAAATTCAGTATTGAGAGCAAGACCTAAGTGTATATTTGTCTGTTTGTTCCCTTCTTATCGCAGGATTGTGATCAAGTATAAAGACGCATGTAACCTGCATAGCGGGCTGGTGATGACGCGGCGCGAGATCTAGCCACAGATTATTTTCTAACTCGAGGTTGAGCGCGGCGAAGCTGACTGCCGCCTCGCCCAGCAGCCGCTGTCGACGCATGCGCTCGCAACCGTAGATACGGATCCGAAGACCCAGCCCGTGCACATCCTCTGACAGAAAACATTTAGAGGTATGCAGCATTATAAGTCATACTCGACAACAAGTCAACAAAGTCATTATTTTGATATTGATTTGACTCTAGATAGTAACTGCCTAACGGTGAGCCAATAATTGGTCAATAGTGCCACTGCTTTATTGGCAAGTGAAAGACAACAAAGGGAACATTTAGTACGTACCGGGATTAATCTTGTGCAGGACGAAGCTCTCCATGTACTGAGGGTTCTCGCCGTTACGAATCTTTGATTTAAACTTTTGCTTTTTCAGTGGCAACAGCACAATTCTCGCCTGAATTATTAAATAAAGAAAAACATTTTAACATTTGAATACATCATTACTTTTAGAGGTCCCCCCTACTTATAAAATAGTGAAGTGAACCTGGCTCTGCAACAGCTGCGGGGGAGTTCGCTGTGGCAGAGCGCGCGCCTGCAGCACGTGCACCGTCATGCTGCGCACGGGCGCGTCGTACAGCAGCGTCAGTTCCACCGTGCCCCGCCCCCCGCCGCCGGCGCCGCTCCCGCCCCCGCTCTCCGCATTCTCTCCACACAACAGCGACGTATCCTATACACATGCTCGGTTAGTACGAAACGTGAGTGTTGAGATAAAGCAAGGCCCTTTATAAACAAATTACAATCTCTACCGATTGCGCAGTCTTTCAGGATTTTGTAATACAGACGAAAGAATAAAAAAGACATAGACTACTTGCGCGGCTCACACTGGGCCAGTAGAGTTGGTCAGCTCAATAACTAGACTGTCAATCAACTGGCACAGTGTGAACGCTTACTGCCGCTAGTGACTTCATATAATCTATGACTGGCCGTTGCAACTGTTCAATTGTACTGGCTAAGTGTAAACTGGACAATACTGGTTGCCTATAAGAAACATGAAGCGTATGGTGCTGGCGTGAAATACATAGTTACACATAAACGGTTAAATATTAATAATATATTCATATTCACATTATGCGCAAGAACATCGCTATCGACGCTGCTTTGTGCCTCCAGGGTGTGGATGTAGTCAGACTTCTTGGGGACCACCTCATCGATCCTGGTCTCCCTCAACGCGGTCTCTACGAGCTGCACCTCCACCTTGACCGGCGCCGACACGTTCTCATTCTTCTCCTCATAATGACACTCTACTTCTTCTTTGTCCTGAAATAGGAATGTCATTGATGTCATCGAGAAGAAAATTTTAGTTAAACATATAATAGTATATTTCTACAGATGGACAATCAATATTCAATGTTTTATTATACAAATGTAGATGAAAATTCATAAATGTAAGAAATTGGTCAAAACTTTTAACTTAACTTTAACGTTACTATAACATTAAGAGCGTAGACATTTGACTAAACCATCGCGTAACTGCTTAGTCGCGCTTTGATTCCTAGAGCATTTAGTTGTGCAACTAAACAGTTGAATGGGCTGCGAAACAATCGACAATCGCACAATAGTACAGCGATAATGTAGTCAAAATGATTGAAGCAGATGTAGTTAAGCAATAGCAGAGGAGATATACAAGTTTAATTATAACTAATTTAAATTAGTTAAAAGCTAATAAAATACAAGATAATACAATTTTCCTACAATTAACCGTATTATAATGAAAACTATTGTATGAAAAGAGAATAAAAAGTCTAAGGAGCTTCCTCTCTTTAATTTTATAAACCTTTTGCAAATGATCTAACAAAGAGGCTATACTATATTACTGCAACAATCCTAAGTTTACCTGTTGTATGCGCAAACGCAGCTCCTCGTCCGAGTCCGAGGTTTCGAACGCGAATATACGTTCGGGATAATGGTTCGGTTTCGACAAAGCATCTATAACAACACAGACGAACAAACGACCTCAATCAATATCATATTTAACACTACTAAACTATCAGATATAACTAATTTATCAATACTGTTGCAGCTAAACTATAAATAAAAAGTAAAAAATACAAAGAGTAATTGTATAAAACCCATCATTACCATTGCTAAGTTTTAACATTAATTAGACCTTGACAAGTGGTCGCCTTGGTATGATAACTACAAACATACCTCGTTAATATATTATTCAAAAGCGTAGGTACTTTGTTGATTAATCGTCAAACGTTTAATTCTACATCTATACGATATTATTGAAAAAAGAATTAATCCGCTTATTAAGACATCTATTTACAATTATTTTTACTATTAGAATGTTACCGAATTGTGCATCGTCGAGAGTTGAGCAGGGATCCGCGATGTGAGCGTTGACTGCGAGGATGTCATCACAGCATTTGCGCGTGAAGACCGAGGAGTAGCACCAGCGCCGGCCGAGGAAGAGAAGCACCACCAGGACCACAGCCGCGAAACCCGCTACCGCACTGATGTACGCCGTCGCTTCCACTACACCAACAAATATGATCACAATCAATCCACACAAAGGAAACAAGAACAATGTTTATATACCATTGGTAGAATTGATGCCGCCTATGTTGGCCACCATTCTGAACTAGCGCGTGGCCATCTCAGGGACACCTCACGAACGTACACACCAAACATTAAAACGTATCACGCATTTAATTTATTTGTGGAATTAGTATCGGAAGCTCGGGTGGAAAATAATTGGGACGTGTTGGCAGGGTCGGAGTGTGATTGCGCATGCGTGGCGCGGAGGCACGCTGGGGGCACGCAGGGGGCACGCCGGGGGTGTGAGCTACATCGCGGGGTGTATACGTACAGCCTCAGCTAGGTACAGGGATACCGTCAAGGCCGAGGGCATCTACTAGCAATTCCAGACTATGAATAAATATGAAATAATATTCATTGATATTCATTAACGAATCATAATTTAATATAATTCTTATCCCAAAGTTTTTTTTTCTTTTATTAACTATAATGTAACTATGTAAATTATTAAAACTTGACAGGGTTGACAAGATCGATAATAAAACAAAAATTGTATTGTTTTGTTTGTCTAACCTTGGCTATGAAAGCAGATATTGAAGGCATTTTAACAGTAAGGTGAGCGTACTCTGTCTCACACAATAGCACAAAGAAAGGTTAGCCCAGGATTAAGTGGAATTTGTTTGTGTTAACTATCTATTATTAACGAAGACAACATACAATAACTATAGGCGTCGCCGATGATCTCGGCCAGGTCTAGGGGGGTAGGGCAGCTACCATTTAAGTGGCCTTATTTGAAGTATGTGTTATATTCTTTTAATATCTTTCGTCTCTTAGTGCAGCTACCCCCTCCTTGGCGACGCCCATGCCAATAATCAAAAACCAAACATCTACCTAATAGATTTCTAGAATATATTCAAAAGTTACTGTTGTATTAAAGGAATTTAATGTTGTAATAAATTTAACAAGTATTTAAAAGTTACAATTTTATGTTGTGTGATCATTATTAGCAGTTTTTACTGAAAATGTGATGATTTCAAGATTTTGTAGACCATTTTGGCTTACTCTAAGCTATTATATTATATTATCTTAACCTGCAGCTGGACGAGTCGAGGATGGCTGGTATTACAGTAATACAATAAAAAGTTTATTTGCTTTTAAATTGTGAATGTTGGTGCCCGACCACGCCAAATTTATTAGGTAAAAAAAAAATGCGACACTATTTCTAGTTACGACAAAACAATGGTTATTTTACATATTTTTAATTCAAAATCATCTTGAAAAACTCATTGTTTCAACAAAGTTTCCTCAAGTTACGAGTTTGTAGTTCGCAATTTGGGTTTAATTTCAACGGTTTGCGATAAATAATGAATATCTCAAGAGTTTTTTTTTTAATTAGTTATGATATAAAATGTAGGAGACATTTTTATCTTTTAGTGAGATAATGAAATCCTAGTTCGTACTGACCGTATCACGCGTAACGTTACGCGGTGCAATGTTACGTGTAACATTCGCATGGAGCTGCTCGTTGCTTGCTGGTTTCGCCGTAGAATTACTTACTGACTGCATGAATTATCGCCTTGTAACGAAGATTCTTCTAAGACAGCTTATTATGCTTTTCCCATTACTTCCACACTATTCCATAACTTATTTAAATTTTTAAAATAACTAACTACTGTTAAATAATATTAGTACCTTTTATTCAAGAACAAATTCACATTTTATTTAAATTTAGAACTCGTTACTAATTATAAACAGAGCTGTCAATAGACAAACGCAAAATCAGATGCGTTGCCTACCCTCAATATTAACAAGACAATTTGTTTTTCAGATTACACACAAAACCAAGATACGGAAATTACAGTAAATGCAACAATGAGAAGTCATTAATTAGGTATACCTAACTGTAATTAAATCAAAGCGAGCGAAGAGAGCCCTCTATTATCTCATAAAACAGTTTTGTGGTACACTTAACTCGGAAAATGTTACTCTTTGATATTTTTGGATTGGCAAAGTAATTTTAATTTACTCACTTTTTAACTTAAATTAATTTAAACAATTCTGTTTTAATTGTAAATTATATTTTACATGATAAAATAAAAATTGAAGGTTTTTCATAACAATTTGTTTGCATTCCTAACGCCACCTGTTAAAAATTTACAATACCAATAAGACACAGACTTGCAAGGATCTTATGGCACATGTAAAACACAGGAGGCGCCTGCTAGTTTTTAGAGTTACCAGTAAGCAAGGAATTTTCTTGCTCGAAAATCTCCCATTTTGAAAACAAAACCAAACTAAATGCAATTGATTTGCAACTTATGATTCAGGTCCGTAATAATTGTTTAATATTTAATTAGATACATCTTGTCTTGACATATTAGTACAGTTTTAGGATTAATCAACCAAAAACGAGGTAAGTTTTATGCTTTTTTGTTCAGAATTAACAATAACGATTAATCGTAAGTTAGCAACATTATGCTCATGGTCCTTATATCAGCAAAAAACACGTTATATCAGCATGACATTTTTTTCTGGAATGTCGAAATGATTAATATGGCGACAGTCACGCCTGCAGTTGCCGCTCGCGAATTAGTTCACAAAATCACCAACTGCTGCATGATCCTTGTAGATCTATATAACCGTGGATTCCAATCCAAACACCTCGAGAAAATCATGTTTTTTTATTGAAAAAAAGGACATCAAGCAAGATTATAAAGGTATTTCATCAGTGGAACAGTTAACTAAAGTTACAGTTTCTTGTCGGTTGTTAATCTCTTTTATTTCGTTATCAAAACCAGTTCGTTTTTACTTAAAATAATTAAGGGCATGGTCCTGTTGTGAAATAAAACAGCGTGTTGATATTTTGAAAAGTTTTTTTTATTAACACTTACATTTTTACAGCGCTCCTAGCCAACAGAGTAATACTATAAAATGAACCGGTGTAAAGAACAGTCGAACGCAAAACAATGTTAGTCCTACGGTGTACAAACAAACAAACAAACAGCATACAACACAGTATCCCATCGCCGCGGCAACATCACGACCAACTATTGTCAATGAGATGGACGACGCGTCATGACAAGCGCAGAAGGTCACCCTAAACAAACAAACGTCATTTAAATCTATAAACATTTCATATAATTTAGATTTTATTAGTTGCTATAATGTTATATTTTACTTTTGTAACCATTATTATAATGTTATATGTATTTGTTACGAAAAATTGAAAGTCGCCTCGCCGGGCCCTCCTGCGGAGCGGCGCGGGGCGCGGGGCGCGGGGCGCGGGGCGCGGGCGCAGGGGCGCCGGGCGGGAGCGCAACGACTCGCATCACACTATCATAACGGTATAATTTTAAAAATTTCTAATTACGCATCCCTACAATTTGTTTATTATCATTTAATTAAGAAATCAAATCTTACGCGGCTACCGATGAGCAGCCTATTTTATAAGTTTGACAAAATCTAATAATGTGATTATTTTAGAAAAGTAAAAGCGTCACGCGAGCGCGCGAGGGCGCGCGGGCGCAGGTGGAGCCCCGGGGGCTGGCGGAGCCCCGGGTCGGGCGCCGCGGCGTCTCGCGCTTCGCTTTAATCTACGTTTACGATTCAAAATACGGCATCAAAATTTCAACTACCTACCTAACAGTAAGCGGTAGTACACTAAGACTCAGGCACTCCACATCGACCTTTCACACGCCATGCACCCCACCGAATCTTCAACAAAACGATTATCCACTCGAAAAATCCAACTTAATCTAAAGTCCACTTAAATAATAATAATGGCTCTTAATTGTAACATTACAACAAATGCTTTCGTTGTCCGCCGGGCACGGGCGCGGCGCGGCGCGGCCGCTGCGCGCGCGCGAGGCGAACCTCCCTCCCCTAACTGCCTAGACGATATTTTTTATTACTTATTTTATAAGTATGTGAAAAACAATTTAGTTATTAACTCTATCTTATACGATTAGTGAGGGCGAACCGAACGATGGGTACTTGTCGGCCGCTCGCCGCGCCGCGCCGCGCCCGCCGGCGCTCGGAGATTCCTATGCGACTGAGATTACAAACGATCACAATGCTAAAGTAACATGATTCACAACTTCCAAATAATACATGTTCCATTTTTAAATAACATCACAAATATCAAACTCTCCACGGTGCATATATACATATAAGTTCGTGAAAGGCGGCGAGGGCGCGGGTGAGGGCGCGGGCGGGGTGAGGGCGCGGTGAGGGCGCGGCGGGGCGAGGGCGCGGCGGCGGGCGGCGGGGCGGGGCGGGCGGTCGGCGGCGGTACAAGCGGTGAGAAGCGCGCGAATTGCTACGGCCGCGGCCCCGGCGCTCCGTCAGGGTGAGGATGCGGAGGCAGGCGAGGCGCGGCTGCGGGCGGCGCGGGCGAGGCCGCTGCCAGCTTAGTAGTACGTCTCCTGCTCCAGCCAGCCGCCGGGGTTGCGGCGCAGGTAGAAGCGCCGGATCTCGTCGTAGATGAAGATCGACAGCATGAACGGAATGGCGGGCAGCCACCACACGAACCTGACGCAGAAACGGTACACGGGTTAAATATGTGACACTTTAACCCAAAAATATTTCACATTTTGTAAAAAAATAGTCAAAAGATAAAAGGCTGCTATTTCCTGGTGACTCACTTGAGTGGGTACATCCGCAGACCCTTGTCCATGCCGGGTGTGTAGGAGAGGAATGCGGCGAGGGCGGTTTCAAAGATGAGACCGAAGTTGAGGGCCCAGTTGCGCATGCCCTGGTGCACGATGGAGTTGCGGCGGGTCTTGCAGATGATCAGATCGGCCCACTGCACCACTACGATGGACACGAAGAAGGCGGTGTGGCAGGTAAACTCAAGCGCTTTGCGGTCGCGGTAGGTCTGTAATAAAATACAAACATTGAGCCGGAATACATATAAGATTTGTAAATGTCCCAGATTTATTTATTCTAGTCATATATTTAAATAATAAATTATTTCCTGAAGAGAGTGCATTGACGAGTCTTGCATTATTTATGAAGATGTGTGGTCTATGAAGTTTCCGTTAAAGTAATCAATTAACAACCTTTTGACCATGATGTAACTTTTGTAAAAAGATATTTAAAAAATTAAAATGAATAGAAACCGTACCCATTCCTGTCCATAGGAGTCGGTGAGATCGTTGATAGCCTTGGAGTCCCACTGTTTCCTGATGCCGAACAGTTTGAGAGGCAGGAATCCGTTCTCAGCCATGATCACGAAGTATACAAAGAAACCAGCAGCGGCTTGGATCATCCCGATCTGACCGTACGCCATCGAGATCAGCCTGACAACATGCGGACAACGTATCAAACTGTGTACTGTTGAGCTCGGCGTGGCAAGCTTTTTCGATTCTAAGTGTTTGAGTCTATGTTCTATGTTTTTATGTTATCCTAATCTTTAGGTAACGTTTTTTAATTTTTTGCAATTTCTTTATCCGTAATCATTATTTAAATTTTAAATGCAGTTTTCTATAGATTAGGATAAATCAAGCATTGTTTCTTAAAATAATTTGGATATTTTCTTTCATTTTTTTCTTTCTTTCGTTTTATGAGCATCTCTGTAGTCGATACTTTAAGCACAAGTCGTCATTAATGATATTGAATATAGTTACATAAGTACATAGACGAGGTCGTGAGAGCAACACAACCACCACGATCAGATTTTTTAATCTTGATCAATTGATATTTTTAAAAAACAATGCTTTCCATTAAAAAGCTTCTAGATTTCAAATAAGGCAATCTTTTACCTTTATCAGTAACTCAAAGGGGATTTTAATACAAATATTAAGCATTATTTTTGTAAGAATCTTGCTGGAAACAACGTTGGTATCAAAAACATAATTCACAATATTTATTGTAGTCATTATATGATTTTAGCAATCGACACCATCGCTATCTCCTTGTTATTAATAATTATTTACACTTCGACATGCAAATTATATTAATACTGAAAGCGTAAGCAAAGTGAGAAAGCAAAACTTACCAAACAGACATAGAAAGCACCTAAGCGAAAATAAATACCGTGTTGCGTGATAGAGGGCGTTGGAAGCCTGTGACATTTGGACTGCGTGCCGGAATACATAATCAAATATATATATCTTATTATATAGATATGTATATAAATCATCGAAGACTAAGACGCTTCATATCGCCAAGTTCATTCCATAACTATTCAATTAATCTATCAACTACGCTTCTAAACAAACACTTCCACTAGTACGCCTTAATGACGCACGTCTAAGAACAATTCACTAATATTCCTCTAACGTGCATTTTCCGAAATTGCATTTCGTATTTTTTTATTTGCTAATATATCAAATATGGAAGAGTGAAGACTGTGCGATAGATAGATTATAATTCCACTAAGTCTATGGATAGTTTCTATGAAGTTTAAAAGATTTATGTGTTAGACACTAGGTCTAGAGTTAGATAACTAGGTCTCGTGTTACACGGAGGTCTGCAGTGTTCGAGGAATGTTCCCATATTGGCCGAGGAACTAATTGCTTAGTGCTTCTCCTAGGAATTAGTATTTGATAATCACTCTTCCACATCTCATTTTCATTGGTTGAACACAAGTCGCCTATCCGTACAAAATGCATTTTTTTAATTCTCTATTGCCAATTTAATGAGGGCAATTCATTAACTGACCACTGGCAATTTTCTTTTTCATTCCGATCATATTAATTTTGAATACCTGCCAGTATGAGTTGATATGTTTTATGCAACGAATTTTTCATGCTTGGACTTATCTAAATTTAAACCCTGTTAAATCTCCAATAAAAATAGTGAATGAATTTATCCAAAGTGTCTTAATTTTTCACCCAATAGGTTTATGTAACTTTTATTTTCAATGGCCAGTTAATGAAGGAATCCCATTACGACCCGTTCGAAACGTCTTCAAACATAACAATATTATTTGTTGATAAAGTAGTTGAGTTTATCCTTGAATTGTTGTGTGCAGTTTTCGAACGGATCGTTCGAAATTTGAAATGTGGGCTATTGATTGCGTTAACACCCATAATGAGTAACTAGTAAGCTTCGGGCGGCATCTGGCGGACCTTCTGTTGACGAGGTTGTCGCGGTAAGGGTCCCGCGGCTGCCGCTTCATGATATCTGACTCGGGGGCTTCGTACGCCAAAGATATAGCAGGCACCTTCGGTAACACCAAGCAATCAGCACAAGTCACAAAACCGATCGCAAATCCGAACCAACAATTATTATCGTAACCGACGCTTGAGCCGAAAACACAAATACACACCTCTCCGCTACGAACGCTCCAAATCACGTTATCTACGACTAGCAACCCTTATTAAAGTATATTAATAGTAACACTAACTCTTACTTCAAATTAAACATTGTGATCTATAATACAGAAGAATAGGAAAATATTAGCGTGTTGTATCCGAAGGAATGTCATATTTCGTAAAAATAGCATAATACGAGTTCAAGTACTAAGCTAGTAATAAAATTACAAGTAAGCCCTAGTGATAATCGATTAAAAGTAAACGGGTAATATAAAGTGTTGTTGTACCTAAGAATATATAAAATACCATAATAGAGGCTTGTCTGTGATGTGAAACAAGATACGTGGTGTGGATGAGAACCTGACCGGACGAGAAATGAACACGCCTAACAGCGTCCTCGTGTCGTATGATGTGCGTGGAAGTCATGAGGTATAAAATAAGTATAAAAAAGTAGTTAAAGAATATAATAATAAGATAATAAAATATATTTATCAAAGGATGTAGAGATGTGTCCACAGATGCATGCACGAAAGACGAAAGATGGCAGAGAGACAGATACACATCGACCACTTACCTTGAGAAAGACCAACACATACGCACACCAAAGATAATAATAAAAAAGAGACGTTCAGCGATGGAACAATGTGTTTAAAGGCGGGTCGTTCTCGAGCCTGGGGAAACACGTTGTTCCATACCGACAACAATCTACGAAGGTTAAAGGAAACAGAGGGATCGTTAGTACAGAGAGAATACAAGACAACGCAAGGCGGAAGTCGGGGTCGGTGCGATTGTCGCCTTCAGTGCTCCACGGGTACGGGGTACGGGGTGTGGGGTGGCTACAGGCACCGTCGCAGACCGCAGGCAACAACCAAACCTCGGGGACGAAGGCTAACTTACACGTGGTAATAGCAAGCGAGTAGCGGATAGAAATAATAAGTTTTCACGAGTGTGGGGCCACTCGCGATATTTTACCTCTCGTTAACGAGTTTATCAGTGAAAGGGTTACGCGGCTGTCGCTTCATAATGTCAGATTCGGCCTCCTCGTAAGCCAGGGAAATGGCGGGCACCTATACAAACACTAGCTATGAGAGCGGTCGGCGAGAAGCGCAGCGCCAACTCACATGTGTACAACATCGAACACAGCAGATGCCATTGACATTGCAAGCGCATACCGTGCTCACAGCGGAATTCAACTGGAGCTATAGCTTTACTCTGTTTAAAAGTGCAGTCTTGTATATTGTCATTCCATTATACTGCGAAAATTGGAGATTTTTTAACTTCAAAGCGGCCAAATTGCGCCATTGTATAGACTATTACAACGTCATCGTCCGCATTCTATAATTAAGAGTTATAAACAAACGCAAGAGTGACGTATAGGTTTCTATTTCTGTTAATGACGTCATCACTTACGTAAGACTGCACAATTGTATATGCTCTGTATATGCACACGGTATGTGCTTGCAATGAATTCATTAATATCACAAAAATAAAAATCAACACATAAAAATGTAAATGATGAATGATTACTTCCGTTGCAAGTACTGAAATCGTTTTAAAAACTCAAAATATCGAATTAAATCAACGAATTCGTGGACTCTAACAAATTTAGGTCACGTGGAAATTTTGAAAAAAAAAATAAAACAAAACACAAAACGTGCCTGAATGATGATGATGATGATTGTAAATGTTGTTGAATTCGAGTGTATTGTGTGTCCTTACACTAGACAAATTATATGTAACCTTTTTGTATGAACACTAGCGCCTCCTACGAAAGAGGGCTTAAGTAAGCGAAAGCCTGCCCTAACATTTGTCACATGCGTTACCATAATTAATTCTAGTAACACCATGACAATCATCAAACCATTTAGCACTTGCAGCATACTAGTTAGTTGTTAATCAATCGAAACTAAAAACATATTGAACATTTTTTGTCCAATTGTACAATCATAATTTTATAATTAAATTAGTATGTTATGATTGTACAGATATGAAACATTCACTCTTCACAATAACGGTACAACAACGATGTTATCTGCGGGAGCGGTTACTGGGACATCACAACACGCATAGAGACCTCTCGTTCACAAGTTTGTCGCAAAATGGATTCCTAGGAGGTCGTTTCATAATATCCGCCTCCGCCGCTTCGTACGCGAGGGCAATCGCTGGCACCTATGTCAATATTTTAATAAAACAACGCTATTTTACTTCATTTCAACAATAATATAGAATAACAATTATACTATTTAAAATTGTACAACTTAATTTAAAAGAATGCAAACATTTCAAAATACAAGTCGAAGTTGCAGAAGTAAAATGGGTTATCGTGTATTTATTGTTAGCTGAAATACTTAAAGAAAATAACATAGAATTACTTTTAAAATGTAACCTAACCAATTACATAGAAATCTCATAGAATTCTCTATTACATTAACTTGTAAAGTGCACTTAGTTCAATATTTTTGCGCAAAATGGCGTGGGTTTTTTATATATCTGATCAGATTTTAATAAAATTTTCTGTGTTTATTTAAACTTTACGTCATTTGTGTTTCGGTACTAAATTATTTATATTATGTAGAAACATAAAACTTCTGTTTTCAAGAAAACCATAGAAATAAATAATTTTTAATTTATTGTCTATAGATTCATCACCTTATTTTCTCAAGAATTTACTTAAACAATTGAGTTTTATTGCTATTTATCTCCAAGATAAATCTATCAACCGGGTGTCGACAAATAGAATTGTGATCTATTGCAGTTATACAAATATGAACTATAACACGTATAAATTAAGGTGCAACTTACCATGTCAGTTCCAAGATCGATGCAGAGGATGGTAACAGTGCCGAGGGGCAGAGGAATGTCGCAGAGGATGAACGCCAGGAAGGGTGAGATCTCGGGGATGTTGGAGGTGAGGGTGTAGGCGATGGACTTCTTGAGGTTATCGAAGATGAGGCGGCCTTCCTCCACGCCAGTTACAATCGAAGCGAAGTTATCGTCAAGGAGAATCATGTCAGCGGCCTGGGGAAGTGGGTTATAATCAATATCGACAAAAAAAAAAACGATTATTTGTATCGATATCGATTTAAACATCGAATGTCTTTTTTCTATTCTTATCCAATCTATTGGAAGGCATATGTTGAATCGATTCAAATTCTTCCCTTTATTGTCTTAGAGGTACATTATAACGCGAATATGTTAAAAGCTTGCATTTTTCTCACTTAAACCATTTTTTGTCTCTTTCTTACTTTCTTACCTATCGCTTTCTTACTCGTATCTTACTTACTTGTTTGGAGACATCAGATCCGGCGATACCCATGGCAACTCCGATATCAGCTTTCTTCAAGGCAGGAGAGTCATTGACACCGTCGCCGGTGACAGCCACGATAGCACCCAGACGTTGGCATCCTTCCACGATGATCAGCTTCTGTTGCGGGGAGGTCCGCGCGAACACAATCTCCGTGTGGAACCTGACAATAGGCAATATGCATTTAATACTAAAACTTTTATTGTTTACTTTATTACTAGAAAAACTGTATCTGTAAAGTTTTTTTTTTAACATAAGGTGATTTAGTAGCGAAATTTTATCATTAAAAAGTGTCTTTTTCAACTCCCAAGTACGTACATTTTAGCTTAAATTGAAATAAAGAGATATTTTTTGGGATATCAGTAAGAAAAAGCAAAACTTCGATTATCTTATTTTAAAATAAACTGCTATTGACACAATCTTCAATTTATAAAAATAAAGAAGTGTGAAAAATGACTATTTGTCCATTGACATTTATGAAAAAAATATAATAAATTTAATTTAAACATTTTTATTGCTTCAAGGAATAACACCAACGATTTTGTCGACTTTTAATACTAACTTGAGAATCTCATCAAGTTGGTCAGAGTTGAGTTCCCTGAGCTCTGTGCCGTGCACGACGGCGGCCTTGGCCTCGCGCGGGTTCACTTCCGACACGGGGATGTTGAGGCGCGCCGCGATGTCCTCCACCGTCTCGTTGCCCTCCGAGATGATGCCCACAGACTTGGCGATGGCCTTCGCGGTGATGGGGTGGTCACCAGTCACCATGATTACCTGGTATTATCAAATTGTACACAATTACGGCGAATCTAAATTTCAACTTAAAAATTAAAACCAAAAAACTGATATAGCTATGCTTTCTTCCAGACAATGTTCTTCACCTAAACCAAATTTTATTCAAATTCATACATCCGCTGTGGATTTACGTAGTAACTAACATACATCCAAACTTTTAATTTTAATTTATTAAATTAGTAAGTAAGGTAACTGACAAAAGGACTAAAAACCACGTAAAAATTACTAAAAAAGAAGTGATCACTGCCTATACTGCAATTTAGTTTGAAGTTCGATGAAACGATTGTATTGCATATTTGCAAAATGACTCTTGTCACTATTACGTTAGAGTGCACATTACCTTAATACCGGCGGAGCGGCACTTGGCGACGGCGTCGGGCACGGCAGCACGCGGGGGGTCAATCATACTCATGAGGCCGACGAAGCGCAGGTTGTCGAGGGGGAAGTTGGGGTCATCCGTGTTGAACTTGTATCCGATGGGGTACTTGTCGGAGGGCAGCTGCAGGTCGCAGAAGCCCAGCACGCGCTCACCAAGACCGCCCAGCTCCAGGTACGCATTATTGAAAGCCTCCTTCATTTCCTCATCCAGAACCTGATGACAAAAACAAATATTAAATCGATATACTGGTGTAAAATTCGTAGAAGGCATCTTTTTTTGTATTTCATCCTTATAAGGAAAGAATAATACAAGGGAAATATGTTAAAAAAATCACCTTTTCCTTGCCACCGATAAAGATAGTGCTGCAGCGTTCCAGAATCCTTTCGGGTGCGCCCTTCATCACCAGCAGATGACGAGGATCGCTGGGATCATCGCTCTCATGGATAGACACCTGGTACTTGTTGGTCGAGTTGAAGGGAATCTCGCAGACTTTCTTGTTACGTTTCCTGATAGACATGACGTCACCGAGGGCCAGTTCCATGCACTTGAGCAGAGCAGCTTCCGAAGCATCACCAGCGACTTCCTTCTTGAGGATGGGGACTCCGTCCTGACCACCTTTGAACTCGGCGCGGTTGCACAGGGTTGCGATCTTAGCGAGGGCCTTGAATCCAGGGCTAGTGCGGTCTATGAGAAAAAAGATTTAATTTAATTTAATACTAGAACAATTTACTTAACTTCTACAAAATAGCCATTTCAGATAGCTCTTTCTTTCAAGTCTTCTGTCTCTCTGTCTTTTCCACGCCCCTAAAGAAACGAGAGGTTATTAAAATAAACCTTGTGATGTTTCTCACCATATTGTACTCCAGATTGATCCTCAGTGGTGTCAGCTTCGATGATCTGGTTGTCAAACCACATGTGGGCGACGGTCATCCTGTTCTGCGTGAGGGTGCCGGTCTTGTCGGAGCAGATGGTAGACGTGGAGCCGAGGGTCTCGACGGCCTCCAAGTTCTTGACCAGGCAGTTCTTGGACGCCATCCTCTTGGCAGTGAGGGTCAGGCAGACAGTTACCGTGGCCAGTAGACCTTCAGGTACGTTGGCTACGATAATACCTGTATAGATTGGGAGAAGTTAATAATGTTCTATGGATATGTACACGTTAAGATTCGTCTAAAATTTTCACTGAATGTGTCATTTGTGTGTGTGTGTTTTTATATTATTTCTTACCGATAAGGAAGATAACAGCATCAAGCCAGTGGTAGCCGAGGATAAAGGCAATGATGAAGAAAGTGACGCCGAGGAAGACGGCGACGCCGGTGATCAGGTGGATGAAGTGGTGGATCTCCTTGGCGATGGGCGTCTCTCCCGTGTCCAGACCGGAAGCCAGACCAGCGATACGTCCCATTACCTTTAGTAAAACGATTTAATATTAGTACCTACCTGGTATAATTAGTTACTTTCAATAATAAGCAGATCGTTATTACTACATCGATAACAGAAAAAAAGTTATGAAATTAACATAACAATACCATTTAATAAATGGAATAATGTTTATCAATTAGTGTAAAAGGTCGTTGATTCAAAACAAATATCAAACATACCGTGTTATCTCCGCAGCAAATGACGATGCCTTTAGCGGTGCCCTCTACAGCGTTGGTGGAGAAGAAAGCCAGGTTCTTGGTCTCAAGTGGGTTCTCGTTGGTGAACTCGGGGCCGCGGGACTGGGGCTCCGACTCGCCGGTCAAACTGGAATTGTCTACTTTGAAGCCGCGGGCCTCGATGATACGGATATCAGCGGGAATTCGATCGCCGAATTTAACCTGCAATTACATCACTGTTTAATATCAACTTAAAATTTTTCTGGTGTAATTCATTTAATTTGCTTTGCAATGTAAAAAATAAAACAAAGTACTGAGTCTCACTTCAACAATATCACCAAGCACCAGGTCCTCAGCGCGGAGCGTCAGTTTTTCACCTTCACGGATGACTGTGGCGAACTGTGGCACCATGTTCTTGAAGGATTCCATGATCTTAGAGGACTTGCTTTCCTGGTAGTACGAGAATATGCCGGTAACGATGACGACAGCCGCCAACACGATGCCAAGGTACAAGTTGTCGTCCGCGGGTTCTTCAACGGTACTCGCCTACAAGAAATAATAAATTAATATACTGAATTACATTAAAAATTATTAAACAGCATTATATAATTCAATGAGATTTTGTTAAAGGTTCAAATATGATGAAGATTATTGAAGACACAATAGAAAAGTGTTAGTAAGTAGTAATAAAATGGAAATATAATGTAAAATGTCAAGTGATAAGGAATACTGACCTGAATTCCGTATGCAATAAAGCATAGAATAGCACCGATCCACAGTAGTAACGCAAAGCCGCCGAATAGATTTTTACAAAATTTCACCCACTCGGGCGTCTGTTTAGGTGGAGTGAGTGCATTTGGACCGTCCCTTTCCAGGTTCTCTTTCGCTTTCGCATGGCTGAGACCCTACAATTAAAAAAAAAGTATTAAGCTTAGTATAAAAATAATTTAAGTCTTCAAGTTCCAAAGTTTTCAAGTCTTCAAAACATTTAAGCAGGAAAAAATACAATTTGTACAAGTAAAGCTAACTTACATTTTCAGGGTGTGTTTGAAATCTTTGGTAAAGTTCCTCGGGTGTTACTTTGTGATAGTCGATGTCTAATTCCTGTTTTAGGTCATCTAAATCTCCTGGTTTCCGTTTTTTCGCGGGGGGTTTCCGGCGTGTCTGCCAACATACATGGACAATCACAGATTAACAAAAGATACAGACAGAATATAAACAAAATCTTTTAATATACAGCACAAAGTTTAAAAAAAATGATTGAAAATGATCAAGGCATTGAATAAGGCATGCAATGACACGAAACGAATGAGACGATCATATAATGCTATCTCTACTCATACATAAACGTAAAAAATACAATCTTCCATTTTGAACTCTGGAATCGAAGATGTTGTCACTATTTTCCTGAAGAACACAAACTCACCTCTGAGGCGGGCATCTTGCTGAAGCTCCGGCGAGCGACTGATGCCGATGCAACCGAAAGCTTCTTTAGCTAGACTTAATCTAGGTCAACAGAGGGCAGCGTCGCCAGCGCCACTGCTGCGTCTGACACCCTAATCGATTCCAGGTCAGATTTTGCGCATATGCCTTAATAGCACTGCAAAACTAGCATTCTATGCAGAGCTACGAACGAATAGCATTGTAGGAACATCTCATATCGATCGTGGAATTGAAAATAAACGAATGATGTAAATAAAAACCTTGTACTGTCCGTCTGCGGTTCTATTATCGTCCTTAACGGGTGCGACGGTGGCGACACGGTATGAGTCGGAGCGGCCATGCTGGAAACACAACTAGGGGCTAGACACATTCTACGAGGCGGCCCCTACGGACCATGCAGCCTTACACTAAGTGAAGTGAATGACAATGGTAATAGCGACATCGCGTGACTCTTATTATTCTATACTTTATTTTTAATTTAACCAGTGGTTAGTGTTATGTTGCTCAGAATCACGCGATATCGATAACAAATATAGACAATCGAAATGTTTACTGTAACAATGCAGATTAATGACGTAATAATTTAGATCAAGACATTTCGATATATCTATTAAACATGAAAATGGTTTGAACGTAGGCAAATACAAAGATAAAACATTCAATGATAGGCATAGGTTTTTCCGTGTAGTAATGTAGTTTGACCTAAACTGCAATATGTTTTTGCGGCATATTGTGTAAAGCATAATACAGCGATACAATGGTCGGGCTGGCATTGTGCAGACGGCAACGGGGGCGTGACCTTGACGCGTGGTCCTGGGCCCAGCCGCTCAATGACGCTCAATTGCTCTGAACTAGTTGCGTGTGAATCTAGCCGCAGCAGAGGAAATGTATCGTCACATTATTCTCCCATGGTCACTACGTCACTATTTAATTGCACTCGCATCATCCGTGTGTAGTTGAGTGGGAAGATTTGCGCAAGTTTCAATTATATGATTTCTACTAATTATAACTTTATCAGATTTGCATTTGTTACTATTATAGCAAAAACAAATGCTAACTAGATGTGTAAAATAACGTACCATTTTTGTAATTACTTCTGTATTCTTTTTTAAGGTTAAATTTTCGTATTTAGTCTCCGATTGACTCTAGAAACTACTACATGTATTTTTAATTTAGATTAGTTACAGTTTTAATTTGCAATGCATGCGGGAGACGCGAACACGATCACATGTTGGTGCAATAGCGATGTGATTGTTCGCGCCGCGGCCGTAATGTCACTGCGGCTAAATGCGTCCGCGGTGCCGTAAACAGCCGGCCGCCCTCGATAATTGATGAACGTTTCCATGGCGGACCTCATTAAAACCGCGCCCTGAATTCACATGAAGGTTACAGCGGTGTAGTACGCGCAATTTTCATCAAATTTAACCACCGCAATTTAATAAAAAGCCCTTGAGCGCATTTAATTATTCATTCTGGGTCAACCACGACACCAATCGTATTCAGTTAGATACTATGAAAGGTCTAAACAGACAAAGGATTGAAATGTTCATTAAATGAAAAGGGTGCTTCACACGAGCGGCGAAGACGAGCGTTATAGCGAGGGCGCTGCGTGCTCGGCCGAGTTACGTAAGCAGGTGGGAGCACGCATGCGCAGTGCGGCCCAACCCCCGAGCTACCCTCGACATAAATAGCTAAACGACAAGGTTGCCACCCCGGGGCCTAGCGACCGCATTCTGTAATCTCTTCAAAGGTTAAACCGGAATAAATGATGGAGAATTGAAACCAGTTCGAATGAGAAAAGTTCTCACATAGAGAAACATCCAGTATAGAGGGAATAAAGAGACTGTTAAATGGGTACAATAAGGGTTAGGCCATTTTATCCCCTACTATCGTTATGTTTCTCGCATCAAATACGATTCAACTTTATTACTATTATACAATTCGAATTGTGGAGCAATTAAAATCTTTTAGATCTAGACATAACGCATACTGCCAATTGAGATACGCAAGTCGTTAGCATGTGTGCTGGTGATCGAAAATTCATTGCCACGGCCACTATACTGCTTTATACCGAAAATTTGTCGTTACTATCGTAGTAGTGGGTGAATGAGACAATTATTTTTGTCCGACTGATGACGTCACTGAGATGAGTTAAAACGAAAGCTGTGCCAAAATCTGAAGAGAAATCTCACGTGCGTTTGTTATTGCCACCCGGCGACTCTTGTCCTAATTGGCTTTGCATCGAACTACGTTACGAAGAATGTTGGACTTTTATTTTTTATCATTATGTAATAGGAAATCTTTGTTGTGAATTACTTAATGTAAAGGAATTTCAATGCAAGTTTCTCCTCTCTAGTATTATAAGATGCATTTTTTTCTTAAATCTCATTGAGTGTAATTGAACTTGCCGATAAGAGGTTGTGGAAAACATAAAGCTATTATTGTTTTTATATTCGATAATAAATGTTGGTAATTGGTTATAATTACCTCAAAATTACGCGATAAACTTTATGCAGAATATAAAATGAGAATAATAAATAATAAAACGTATCAAATTTTACAACAATTAATTAAGGACAACTCGTGTTTTTAACATTCACGATATCACGTCATTGAAAATTATGTTTATAAGACTTGACTATATTTAAATTGGAAACGTTAAACAATTTTTGTTATGTAACAAGTCATCATAAGATTTTATACGATGATGCATCAGATCTTTGTAAAGAAACCTATACAGTGTTACTTGGTAACTTGTTACTTCTGAATTCAATTCTAAGTTCATAAATTTTCTTCACATTATTTTGTAACTCATGTTTTAACTATTCATTAAATGGTGAAAATTACTATACCAAACTTGTGAATTTAAACACATTGAGTTAATATAGAAAAAAATTAAGACTTAACTTTATAAAATTAAGCGACAAATATTTAATAAACCATCGTGGGCTTTAATGATTCAACTTCTTTCCTCTTTGTAAAATATCGCTTCAAATAATGGCAGTGGGAAATAACTATTAAATTTTAACATGAAATCGCGAGTTGGGTATTTGAAAATTTTCGGATAAGTAACACTACGTAACTGCCCAAGGACCCACGGCCGCGTCTAGCAACATAATTGGTGCGTGCGCGCTATCGTCATAAAGGATAAAGGAAATACTCCAATAGAGCGACGGCACTCTATGCGATTTAAATGACATAATGACGAGGCAATTTTCTAATAAACCTTCAGTGCTCTTATAGTTCTCGGGCGAGCTACGGCGACGCTCCCACTAGCCGCGACCCGTTAGCGCTTCCTTCGGACACCTTGCGCCCGCGAGACCCCACCTCATCTGACCTATTTGTATCACCGACGCATATGCCCCACGAAATCAAAACTAAAATCCATTTGGCTACTCGATTATGATTTTTAAAAGATGTTACTATATTATTTAAATTATTATTGGATTGCTTCTTAATTTGAAACTAAAAACTTTTGGAAAATGTTGAAGCGAACACTGAATAATTACAAGTACACAATTCTTGAAGTTCTTTGTTATAAAATATTGCGGAATACTATTCGTTTAAAACTTAAAGGCTTTCAAAAATGTATTAAACAGTAAGAAGGAACGGCTGACGTGGTATGAGAGGGCCTTACATCGGATGTCCCTCTCGCCGCAAGATCGATACGGACAGTTACGCAACCAGGTCGGCGCCGTCTCCCGAAAAGCCTTTTTTCCATTTTTTTTTAAACGTATGACAATTAAACTAAAGATATTAAACTACGCCATAATCGCTTTGCACAAATACATAAATGATATGGATCGAACAAAACACCGATTCGTGCTAATATGAGTTTCATGAAGTAAGAGAACAAAGGAAATCGTGCAATGGGACGGCTACGAGACAATCACAATGACCATGCTTCAGGTTCGCAAGCACTGGATCCGGCAGCAAGTGCCGCAGCGGGCGGTAGGGCGCGGGTCCGGTTCTCACTCACTGTCAGCATGCACGCACACCAACTCTCACTGGGCGACAGCTGCCGCTTCGCTACAAAGGCATACAAGCACTACTTAAGCAACACTTGCACTCACCTCGCCCATTTTCTTAAGTCTTTATAGTAAAGGCGGATAAAAAGAGCGAGCCGCCTCTCCGAGTCGTGTACGTTGGTCGACGGTGCGGGATGGACTGGTGCTAGTTCTGCAACAACGGGGGGGACTTTACGACTTCCTCCTTCCGACGGAAAAACTTAAAAGGTGTGCGCTTTCACGTCGCCTTATCGCACGGCACCGGGACTATGTCATCGTGGTACGGTACTCGAACCCGGTGTAAGATAGCACGGGTGTTTAGGGCGCGACGTTCGGCGGCCTGCTCCGGGCGGCGACTGACGAAGGGGCCTGAGCGTATCGAGCCGATGGTTCGCTGACGTCACACTGCGTCACGACGCCAGCGCCGCCACCGGCGACGCGCGCAGTCGCGCCAGCGCCCTCTGCCCGCCCGCCCTGCACCCCGGGCCCGCCGCCGCCCATCCGCGCCGCGCGCAACCTGCCACAACCACTACGGCGGCGCCCAACTATCGCAAACTGCCTAACCCAAGATGGTATCTACTAAACGAATGCCGAATTTCACAAGTATTTGCTAATATTAATCCTATACCTGAAAACGGCATTTATATACACTTTATGTGTAATAACTACAATCGCATCGAATATACATTTTTATAAATATTATGTACTTCAGTGAGCGGTAGGCAGTCTCAATGGCGCGCCCTGCCCTATTTTGTACTGTATATCTGCAGACGTTTGCAGATGGCCTAATGCGTTTACCTGCTCACTGTAATCGAGGCATTATCATAAAATATACATTAGGTTTCTGTTTGAAGTTGGAATCGGTACCGATGCTTGTATTAATATTAGATTCATTTTCAGTTTAGCTATATAAACACCACGTAAATATCTTATATTGAGTGAATACATTTCGCACCAATTTTATTCTTAACTCCATTACATAATATGCGAAGAATACTGAAAGTGTACGTAATAATTGCTAACCTTTCAATGGCTAACAAACATCTCCATAAAATATTAAAAGTTACAGCAATTTTACAGTTACAGTTACAGTTTTGTAATTCCGACTTTATAACGTTCATGCCCAGATTAGCTAAATTTGTTATTTGTACCTTAGCTTCACAAGAATTAAACCTCAATGTAATTAACATCAATATTAGCTAGAGGAATATATACCACAAACCACTAGTCACTCAAAATAGTCGTTCCAAATGATAACCACAAGTTAACAAGCACTCACTCCGTTGCGTGCCAATCTATTTTTATAAAATCGATAAAGTTAATTACCGACAATG